AATGTCCCCTAATCTGTGGTAGCCTAACTTCAGTGGCAAAGCCAGCCCGACAATTTGGTCATGCATGCTATGTAAATATTTCCGTGTTCATAGACCATATGTGAAAACAATCAATTTCTAAAGAAATGAATAATGATACTTATTTATAATTTGCATAGCATGACCAAATTGTCGGGCTGGCTTCACCACTGAGCCTAATACAGAAATGAACATTGATCTGTACATATAATTGTTACCCATCTTTAATATATAATATATTAGAATTAAATTACAATTCTAATATATATTAAAATAATATAAATTTGTACATATTTGTTTTTATTTACAATTCATGGATGTTCGTCAGTCAATTGATACATTAAACCCATTTAATAAAATTAAATTTAGTTTTATACCTAGAAAATATACATATAAATATACAATAAAATTGGCAATTTAAAACGCGTTTGGACATTTATGGTTAATTTGTTATTGATTGCATAGTAAGCCTAATAATTAAATTTTCACTTGCTAATTTTTTAGTTCGAGTTAATTAGTCATATTACGGTTGTCGCAATTTATGCTAGAGATGCATTCATTCGTTCGTTCATTCATAAACTTTGATCAAGGCAAGAAAAACAAAATCCATCACCACAGCTGGAAAGAGCATGTTAAAATTAGTAAAATTGCAAAGTTTGGTTGCGAAACGTTGTAAAATGCGGAAAATATAGCCCTGCGAAATTTGCAAATTTTGTATTAATTTGTGTTACGCGCGGGAAAATGCACAACTTTAATTTCGGCCCATTTTACAACATTTCGCAAGCAAACTTGGAACGATGGATTTTGTTTCCTCTTGTCTAGATCAAAATTTAGTCTACAGCCGGAATCACCCATTATGTGCTGATAAATTTAACAGCTTTTAACGCTGCGCATAAAACAGTAAATCTCTTTGTTCTGCCGGTCAGATGAACTATTTTTAATCGAACACAGTCAACTGACGCGACTGATTTCCAAGTCGTTTTAACTTTCAATCAGAATTTTCATGTACAGTTTATGCAGTTTTAACATGCTCGTGCGATTACAATACATTCTAAACTCCCAGAGGTAACGAAGTTTGGGTGTTTACAACAAAAGGGTGATTTCTAAAGGTTTATTGTTTTTGTACTGGATAGCTTTGCGTAGCGGCGCGAAAAAGCACCTATAGCCGAATCAAAATGTACAACTTTCAGAAGCTGAGCGAAACAACATCTCTCCGTTGCAATAATTCCTCTGAAAATAGCGTTCAAAATATCGAACCTGCGATTCTGGTACAGCGCTCTAACCAAAGGTCAACTGTCTCTCTGTAGCTCAGTTGGTTAGAGCTCGACAACTGTCTCTCTGTAGCTCAGTTGGTTAGAGCTCGACAACTGTCTCTCTGTAGCTCAGTTGGTTAGAGCTCGACAACTGTCTCTCTGTAGCTCAGTTGGTTGGAGCTCGACAACTGTCTCTCTGTAGCTCAGTTGGTTAGAGCTCGACAACTGTCTCTCTGTAGCTCAGTTGGATAGAGCTCGACAACTGTCTCTCTGTAGCTCAGTTGGTTAGAGCTCGACAACTGTCTCTCTGTAGCTCGGTTGGTTAGAGCTCGACAACTGTCTCTCTGTAGCTCAGTTGGTTAGAGCTCGACAACTGTCTCTCTGTAGCTCAGTTGGTTAAAGCTCGACAACTGTCTCTCTGTAGCTCAGTTGGTTAAAGCTCGACAACTGTCTCTCTGTAGCTCAGTTGGTTAGAGCTTCACAACTGTCTCTCTGTAGCTCAGTTGGTTAGAGCTTGACAACTGTCTCTCTGTAGCTCAGTTGGTTAGAGCTCGACAACTGTCTCTCTGTAGCTCAGTTGGTTAGAGCTCGACAACTGTCTCTCCGTAGCTCAGTTGGTTAGAGCTCGACAACTGTCTCTCTGTAGCTCAGTTGGTTAGAGCTCGACAACTGTCTCTCTGTAGCTCATTTGGTTAGAGCTCGACAACTAGTGTCTCTCTGTAGCTCAGTTGGTTAGAGCTCGACAACTGTCTCTCTGTAGCTCAGTTGGTTAGAGCACGACAACTGTCTCTCTGTAGCTCAGTTGGTTAGAGCTCGACAACTAGTGTCTCTCTGTAGCTCGGTTGGTTAGAGCTCGACAACTGTCTCTCTGTAGCTCAGTTGGTTAGAGCTCGACAACTAGTGTCTCTCTGTAGCTCAGTTGGTTAGAGCGCTGCACTGGAATCGCAGGGCCACACGTTCGATTCCAGGGTGTCCCCAAAAAAGTCCCCCTATACAAATCACTCTTTTGTTGTCAAACGTGAGTTGTTATACCTCTTCGAATTTAACATAGCTTCTAAAACGAACAGCAACACAATGTCAAATTACAAATTCGTCTCACCGTCAGTTCGAGTACGAATGGCTCGACTGACTACAAAGAGCAACGAGTATTTGTCGTAACAATTTATACGTTAACGCAAAGTGTAACCGAAGTTTTAAATTATTTGGACGAAGGGAAGGATTATTTGGTTAGGTCTGAAAATTGAATTCGCATCTCTAACTTGGCTAGCAATATATCGCGAAATGTACGGCGGTGCGTAGGTTATTAGTTACCTGGATCATTGAAATATTTATCTTTCTGGAATTTCACTATTTTGTGGATTGTAAAAATACACTATCATAAAACTGTCGTGGGGAACGAAGCCAGTTCTCTGGAGACCCAACCGGGCCAGTTGCCAGTTTCCACGCCAGTCGCTTTAACACGATTATACAGATTCTGAAAGACAAAAATTTTCATTCTAGGGATACAAACGCAAGAGTCTCACATCATGTAGCAAGTCTGCCAACAAGTTGTGTTCGCACTGCTTGTCTCAAGTTGTCAACAAGTTTGGAACACGCTAACAACTTGTAACAACCTTGTTGATATTATCAGACTTGTTGCAAGGTTGTTCCAACAAATCCGGTACAGTCATGATATAACAATATTGTTACAACCTTCCGTCGTCAACCTTGTAACATTCTTGTTACATTATGACTGTATCAGACTTGTTAGAACAACCTTGCGACAAGTCTGATAATGCCATCAAGCTTGTTACAAGTTGTTAACAGCTTGTTCCAAACTTGTTAGAACAACTGGGAACAAGCAGTGCGAACACAACTTGTCGACAGCTTGTGAACACATTTGTAACAACTTGTTTGCAGACTTGTAACAACTTGTGCGTTTTACGTGTGTTGCTGACAAATTGTCAACGGCTTGTTGACAACTTGCTACAAGGTTGTTGAGCTCAACAGACTTGTTACAAGTTGTTCCAACAACTTGTTATCGTCCTGCAATTCAACAATTTGTCAACAAGTTGTGAGTGACATGCAATCTTGTAGCAAATTGATAAAATAACAGCATTGTTACAAGTTTGCTACAAGGTTGTTGAGCTCAACAGACATGTTACAAGTTGTTCCAACAACTTGTTACAACCTTGTAGCAACTTGATAAAATAACAGCATTGTTACAACTTGTTGACAAGTTTGCTACAAGGTTGTTGAGCTCAACAGACTTGTTACAAGTTGTTCCAACAACTTGTTATCGTTCTGCAATTCAACAATTTGTCAACACGTTGCGAGTGGCAACCTTGTAGCAACTTTATAAAATAACAGCATTGTTATAACTTGAATTTTTTTCTGTGTTGGTGTAGTGTACTCAGGTGAATATGATATTTGTGGTGTTACTCTGAGTGTATATCCACACCGGGCGAGCTTGAAAAATATGCCCGGCCACGGTCATAGGTTCGAAAGGTCGTAGGTTCGAATCCCTGGGATTCGAACCTACGACCTTTCGAACCTATGACCGTGGCCGGGCATATTTTTCAAGCTCGCCCGGTGTGGATATACACTCAGAGTAACACCACAAATATCATTGTTATAACTTGTTGACAAGCTTGTTACAAGCCTGTTCCGAACATCTTGTTGTTACATCTTGTTGACAAGTTGTGAGATTTTTACGTGACTGTGCATTTGCCCATAAAGACATATTTGTTTGTGTATCTATGAACTTACCTGAGGTTTCATCCAGTTAAGTTCTTCCATTGTAAAACCACATATCACCATGTTCAACTTCACGCCAAGCACAAGCGAGTAAAAATATTTCTTAAAAGTCAAAAATAGTTTTGCAATCCCTTGCGTCGAATTCCTTTTGAAAAATCACGATTTATTTAAATTGACAATATTTAACTATTATTTTGTGTTTCTCAACCGCCACATACGTTTAAAAAGTTTGCTAACTGCCGTGTAAACTATACAAAATAAAGCTAAAACAAAGTACTTTTGAGAGGAACGCCAAAAAAGATTTTTTAATAAATATCATTATTTACTGACCTGCTCAACGCTGATGTAACTGGACTGTGATTCTGCAAGTTTTCGCTGTTGATCATAAATTATTCTATCTTTCTCCTGAAAATTTTGTTCAAATTTTCATTACGTAATGCGGCTTAACTAATGAAAGGCTTGCGCTCTCCTTTCGAAAAACAAAAACAGGACAATATAGTGAGTAGTGTATCAGTAATTTTTTTACATACCGCGATGTCATTCGCATGTTTTGATTGTATTTCCTTCATTTCTGCCTTGACAGTCTCAGTTTCCTGTGTTCGAGTCTATATGAGATATGGCAAAAATACCATTGTTATATAGTTCAATTTTTCTGTTTGCCGATTGGTCAAAACCGTGTCACGTGCCGGTCCACAAAACGTCATGTTCGGCAACCGGTCCGCAATGAAACATTTATTAATAATAATAATAATTTAATTTGTATTGCGCAAGTTCCATTCAAATATGCTCACATGCGTATAACAATAATATAAAAATAAAATCTAAATATTTACATAAAAGATAAAAGATAGTTAAGACAATCCAGACTATTCATTAATAATCAGTTTTGAGTCAGATGGGTGCAATGCGCATGCGTGTCAGCCATGAAGTTCCAAAGTTAATTTTTTAAACTTTTTATTAAACATTTACGGCGTTCCATTTATACAGTTTTGGTTTCAAATCAAGTTCACTCCAATAACCGGTGAATTATTCATACTTTGACACTTATATACTATATAACAAAACACTTATTTACTGAGACCTCGGGAAAGCAGTGTGTTTTCACTGTTTTGTGGCCCCTCGACCGCCGTTGTTGAGGGTTGTTGGGTCCACAAAACACACTGTTTCCCTCGGTCTCAGTAAATAAGTATAGGTTATTTTGAGGCAACGAGGGGATATGTGATTTATTCACCGAGGCGCGCAGCGCCGAGGTGAATAAACACATATCCCCAAGGTGCCTCAAAATAACGTACTTATTTTTCACACTGCGAGGTCGCGTTAATGAGTCAGAAAAGAAATAATTCTCAATGCCATATCGCCTTCGCGATGTTGTTTTTTCTCATTTTTTGTGCTGCAAAGACATTGCAGGTGAATAGTAGAGGGGATTATTAATTGCAGGTGAATATTAGAGGGGATTATTAAACGGAAATTGATTAGAGGGGAATATTGAATATATTCCCCGACAAGAACAAAGGAAACCGAGCAGGGTGAAAAATAAGTGATAATTATTACATAGGCCGTGGGCTGTTGGCCAAAATTATTTCGCTTCGTGGCACCCATGTGGGAAATACTTGGTTTGGGGTTTATTTGAAAGGCATATAGGTACATCACTACCAAAAAAAGTTCCCAAGCAAAAAAGTTGCCCAATCCCGAGAAAATGGGTGATCAATGATTATCCTCTATTAAATTGTATTACAGCAAAAAATGGGAAATTCTGTATTCAATTACAATAAAAATGAGTTGCATCATCGGAAAACGTACAAAAAACCGCATATAAGACTTTTAAACAGTTTTTTGATTTTTCAAATAGTATTTGAGTTATTGCTGTTTTAAATGTGAAAATTGGACCAAAATGTCGCAATAAGGACTGGGTACTAGGTCAAAAACGCGTTTTTGACAGCGTATAACTCGAAAACAATTATAGATATAAAAAAACTGTTTAAATGTCTTATATGTAGGTTTTTGTAAGCTTTCTGATAATGCAAGTCATTTTTGTTGTAATTGAATACAAAATTTTACATTTTCTTGCTGTAATACAATTTAATAGAGGATAATCACTGATCACCCATTTTCTCGGTGTTGGGCAGGTTTTTTGCTTGGGAACTTTTTGTGGTAATTAAGCATCTATGGTTCTATGAATTGAACCACAGAAAATCTATCTCCAAGGAAGGGTGCCACGAAATTGCTTTTCTAGGCACTTTTTTGCACAACAGCCCACGGCCTACATGACCAGCAGTGTTTTATCAGATATAAAGGTATAACTTGAAAAGTACTTTCAAGATACTGTATAACACTGCTGCTCATGTTTTGAATAGTACATAAAATAAGTGTAACCTTTGTACCTGTGCTATGAAATCCTGTCTCGCTAGTTCAGCTTTCAAGTCGTGAACTTCTTTATTGTACATCTAAAAACAAGAATCATACGTCCTTTACTTGCAGAAGTTAAAAAATTTCAAACCTTATAGACTATAAAGTATAGTAGAAACTGTTACAAACCTCGACCATTTTTTTATATATATTTTCTTGTTGTTGTCTTGTTTTTTCAATCGCCTATAGGAATCCGAGAAACACAGTATTTCTAGTTGAGATCTCTAATCAGTGATGTACTGGTACCATGCATATATCAGTGTTTTCAATCCTTATACCTCTTTCAAATTCTCCGTATGTTCAACCATAGTCTCGGCTGGTTTGAATTCTACATTGGTCATAAGTTAGAACAACGTTAAAAATAAGAATAAGTGATAAAAAGAATGATGATGTTTGTTGATAAGACTGACAGAATGTACGACATTGTATATCATTTTGCGACTTTTATCTGAGACTACTTTTACCTAGGAGCTTCGCTCGCAACTCTGTTCTGCTAGTACTTTTCAGTACAGTTATTTTGTATCCCTCTCAATTGTAACGTGTTTCGAACGAGCTGTTAACAACTTGTAACAATCTTGCATGATGGCATTATCAGATTTGTTACAAGGTTTTTCTAACAAGTCTGATACAGTCATGATATGACAAGAATGTTACAAGGTTGACGACACAAGGTTGTAACAATATTGTTATATCATGACTGTATCGGACTTGTTGGAACAACCTTGTAACAAGTCTGATAGTATCAACAAGGTTGTTACAAGTTGTTAACAGCTTGTTCCAAACTTATTGACAACTTGGGACAAGCAGTGCGAACACAACTTGTTGACAGCTTGTTGGTAGACGCGTAAAAATATCACATCTTGTAGCAAGTCTGCCAACAAGACGTCAATAAGTTGTGTTCGCACTGCTTTGTGCTTTCGAACATGCTGTTAACAACTTGCAACAACCTTGTTGATATTATCAGACTTGTTGCAAGGCTGTTCCAACAAGTCCGATACAGTCATGACATGACAATATTGTTACAACCTTGTGTCGTCAAACTTGTAACATTCTTGTTATATCACGACTGTATCAGACGTGTTAGAACAACCTTGTAACAAGTCTGATAATGACATCAAGGTTACAAGTTGTTAACAGCTTGTTCCAAACTTGTTACAACAACTGGGAACAAGCAGTGCGAACACAACTTGTTGACAGCTTGTGAACAGATTTGTAACAACTTGTTTGCAGACCTGTAACAACTTGTGCGTTTTTACCCGTGTACACGACAATTTAACTATACGCGTAAAAATCTCCCAGCTTGTCAAGAAGATGTGTTCGCACTGCTTGTTCCCAGTTGTTGACAAGTCTGGAACAAGTTGTTATCATCTTGTAACAAGGTTGATGAGGCCAACAGACTCGCAACAAGTTGTTCCAACAAGTCTGATATCGTCTGCACGTAACAAGTTGTTAACAAGTTGACGACAACAAGCTCGTAGCAACTTGTTACGAACAGCCTGTAGTAGTCTTGTTGGAACAACTTGCAGCAAGTCTGTTACCGTCATCAACCTTGTAACAAGGTGATAACAACTCGTTCCAGACTTGTCACAACAACTGGGAGCAAGCAGTGCGAACACATCCTGATATCGGCTTCACAACCAGGGCCGCAGAGAGGGGGGCAGGAATTGCCCCGAGGTGCTGGGAACCCCTGAAAATTTTTGTTGGGCCCCAGTCTGTTTTGTGTGTTAAATATTTCCGCGCAAAGGGCGGAGTACTTTGGGCTAAGTACCGAAATTTGGCATAAAAAATGAGATAAAGTCCCTGGAAAGCGATTGCAACGTACTCGTCCTGAAATTTTTTTTACCTAAAAAGTTGTCGACGGGGGAGGGTTGTTTTCCGAAAAAATTTTTTTCCGTAAAAATTTTTTAGATAGGGGCCCCTAAAAAAAATTTTTGCCCCGGGCCCCCGCCAACTTCTCGGCGGCCCTGTTGACAACAACCTTGTTACAACTTGTTTACAGATCTGTGTACTACACATGCAAAAATCTCGCATCTTGTAGCAAGTCTGCCAACAAGCCGTGAACCAGGTGATCTCGTGTTCGTATTTTAGCCAATCAGCGCTCAGAAAGGGTTGTCCGAATAGAAATCCATTTTGATGTATTCAGTCGATTATATATTTATATCTTTCGTTATTCTTTATGAAACTAGTTGAAATTTCGTAATTATGTTTGGTTATGAGAACTATAGCTCTGACACAAATATGAAATCGAAATAAAGTATATTACAGGAGATATTCAGTTATAAGTTCTTTGAATGTTTGCATGGCGATAAAATATAATTGTTTTTGTTTGTGGAAACACCACGTAAATTTATTACTGCAAAGCTTTCGATCCGTAAGCCCGGATCTTCATCAGTGCTAATAATATGTGACACATTATTAGCACTGATCGAAAGCACTTACGGATCGAAAGCTTTGCAGTAATAAATTTACGTGGTGTTTCCACAAACAAAAACAATTAGATATTCAGTTGTTTTAATCATAAAATGGATTTCTACTTGATAACTAGTGCCAGTACTTTTCCGCGTATCAAGATCATCTGGAACAAGTTGTGTTCGCACTGCTTATCCCAAGTTGTCAACAAGTTTGGAACAAGCTGTCAACAAGTTTTAACAACCTTGTTGATATTATCAGACTTGTTGCAAGGTTGTTCCAACAATGCTACACACGTAACAACTTGTCAACAGGATGTGTTCGCACTCCTTGTTCCCAGCTTGTTGTCAACTTGCTACAAGGTTGTTGAGCTCAACAGAATTGTTACAAGTTGTACCAACAACTTGTTATCGTCCTGCAATTCAACAATTTGTCAACAAGTTGCGAGTGACACCCTTGTAGCAACTTGATAAAACAACAGCATTGTTACAACTTGTTGACAAGTTTGCTACAAGCCTGTTGCGAACACATCTTGTTTTCAAATACACACGTAAAAACGCACAAGTTGTAACAAGTCTGCAAACAAGTTGTTACAAGTCTGTTCACAAGCTGTCAACAAGTTGTGCTCGCATTGCTTGTTCCCAGTTTGTTGTAACAAGTTTGAAACAAGCTGTTAGCAACTTCTAACAAGCTTGATGGCATTACCAGCTTTGTTACAAGATTGTGCTAACAAGTTTGTTACAGCCATGATATAACAAGGATGTTACAAGGTTATCAACACAAGGTTGTAACAATCTTGTTATGTCAAGCATGTAACGGACTTGTCAGAAAAACCTTGCAACAAGTCTGGTAATTTCGACAAGGTTGTTACAAGTTGTCAACAAGTTGTTCCAAACCTGTTGAGTGTTGACAACTTGTGACAAGCAGTGCGAATACATCTTGTTGACGGCTTGTTGGCAGACTTGTTACAACTTGTGCGTTTTTACGTGTGTATATCCACCATATCGAATCTTACCGAAACTCTTTCCCGCCACAGTGACATTCACGTTCGACAGTTGACTGAACGATTGTAACAGACTATCGAGTCGTGTGTTCACATCCTCAGTTACATTATGAAATTCCTTCCACTTCGTTTCAAGAGATTGTTGCTGTTTGTGTTTTTCGATATCTCGGGCGGCACGCACGTGCGCACGCTCAGTTTGTATCTCGAGTTTCAGTTTGTCAACCTCCTCTGTCGCTTCCCGCTCCGCTTGTTGCGACATGGCGACTTTTAGGTTTAAATTCTGTGAAAAATATTGAAACGTGAACTGTTCAGTTGCATAAATTTCAGACAGTGGCGGACACTGGTACCAAATATCACAATTCACAAGCATTGTTTAGAAGCAAGTGGCAAGCATGACCTGATTTTGAGGGAAGGTGTGGGAAGGTGCGCGCCTCCCCTGAGATCGTTTTGCACCTCCTCAGAAACGTCATGCACCTCCCCTTGGGAAAGTTTCAATGATAGATCAAAGTGAAAATTTGACATTTTTTGGTTGCTTAGGGTCTACACTTCGTTAGAAGTTTTTTTCTGTAAAATTGAAACAGTGATAGCCATTCATCTCTGTATCAAGTACCCCTTTGATGCAATGTTTTGAAAGAAACTTTGTAGTAATTGTAATGAAGGACAAAATTGGATGAGTTGTACAGTCATAATTCATTAATACACTGATACATATGTACACTACATGCATACGTCACGTCGTTGACTTTGGCCCATTCTACAAGCCATAACTTTCCATGGGGGTCGTGAGCTAGACCGCTGCACCTCCCCTAAATATTTTTCCACCTCTCCCACTATTTCCACCAAAATCCGGTCTTGGTGGCAAGCATGCAATGACACACTCATGTAACATAATTGTCATATTAAATAACCTCCAAAGAAAGTACATGTGCAGACAACATGAAACTTTAGACAGCAGAAAATTGCACAAGCAGTTATCAAACCAGGGCCGTAGCAACCGGGGGGCTGGGGGGCTGCAGCCCCCCCCCCCTCCCAATAATTTGCTAATAATCATTCTTTTTTCAAAAGCATGCAGACCTTTATCATTTAATCTGTGACAAACTGCAAAGAATGAAGGTATTACCCATACTTTCCTGCAACTTATTCAATATATAGTTAATTAAATACGCCTTCGCCCATTTAGTACTGCAGTACTAAATTGTAAATTTCGACATACTAAAACGCTGTTTTCTGACTATCAGAATTCTGTCAAATCTTCCCCCAAAGTCTAGGAAATGGCATTTCAGAGACTCTAAATTTAAAAATTTCTTCGGGCCTTTGGCCCTCGC